AAGGACTTGGACCATCTTCCACTGCTTTCCCAGGCCATTAGCAGGGAGCTGGATTAGAAATAGAGCAGCTGAAGGCTAGCACCGCAGCTCACTAGGCTAATCCTCTGCCTGCGGCGCCAGCACCCCGGGTTCTAGTCCCGGGTGCTCCTCTTCCAGTCCATCTCTCTGCTGTGGCCCAGGAGTACAGTGGAGGATGCTCCAGGTGCTTGGGCCCCTGCACCTGCATGGGAGACCAGGAGGAAGCACCTGGCTCCTGGCTTTGGATCAGTGCAGTGCACCGGCCGCGGCGGCCATTAGAGGGTAAACCAATGGAAAAGGAAGACCTTTCTCTCTGTCTCTCTCTCTCACTGTCCACTCTGCCAGTGGAACAGCTGGAACTTGAGCCGGCGCCCATACAGGATGCCAGCACTGCAGGCGAATGCTTAGCCTACTGTGCCAGAGCGCCGGCCCCTCTGGGCATATTTAAAAGCTAACAGAATCCAGCGAGGGGAAGCAGTTGAAGTTAACAGGGACATCATAAAGCGTGTACCACATCAAAAACTACAGGAGTGAAGCAACGTAGTGTATATATATACTGGCTTTCCCAGTATACCAAGTGTACTGGAGCTGGCATGGTGCTGTACCAGGTAAAGCCATGTGGGCGCTGTTTGAGTCCCGACTGCTCCACTTCCACTCCAGCTCTCTGCTGTGGCCTGGGAAAGCAGTGGAAGACGCCCAAGTCCTTGGACCCCTGCACCCAGATAGGTAACCCGGAGAAAGCTCCAGCCTCCTGGATTCTGACTGGCAGAGCTCCGGCTGTTGTGGCCATTTGGGGAGTGAACCAGTAGATGGAAGTCCTCTAATTCTGCCTTTCAAATAAATAAATAAATCTTAAAAAAGACTGCTGGCAGTGGCAGGAGAGTTAGCAAAGTGTGATAAGAGCAATGAGAATAAAGTAAAAACATGAAAACAGGTAAAGATTTTCTGACAGTATTCATTATGTACTACAGATCTTATAAAAACATTAATCTCATTCATCACAACCTTCCATTCCCATTCTCTAAAAGAGGGAACAAGGGGCCGGCACCATGGCGCACTAGGTTAATCCTCCGCCTGCAGTGCCGGCATCCCGTATGGGCGCCAGTTCTAGTCCCGGTTGCGCTGGCCATGGCAGCCATTTGGGAAGTGAACAAGCTGATGGAAGACCTTTCTCTCTCTCTCTCTCACTGCGTGTATCTCTACCTCTCAAATAAATAAATAAAAACCTTTAAAAAAAAAAAAAAAACCCTACATCTAGGGGTGGGTGTTTTGGTACAGTAGGTTAAGGCACCAGCTGCAATGCCAGCATCCCATATGGGGGCTGGTTTAAGGCCCGGCTGCTCCATTTCTGATGCAGCTCTCTGCTATGGCCTTGGAAAGCAGTGGAAGATGGCCCAGGTGCTTGGGCCCCTGCACCCACATGGGAGGCTTCTGGTTCCTGGCTTTGACATTACTCTGCCTTTCAAATAAATAAAATCAGTAAATAAATCTTAAAAAAAAAATACATTTCAATCAGAAGCATCTGACATACACCATAAAAGGGACAGACAAGAGTTGAGTTTACAGAAAGAGAAGTCATCCTTATTTGAATGACGAAGCTCATTAGGAGCAAAGACTACTTAGGAGGCTATTTTAAACGGGTTAGCCAGAGATGCAGTGTGTGAACTCGGACGGGGCAGCGGCGACAGTGGAGAAGGCTGCTAGCGCTACGGCAGACTGCACGTGGAGGCAGGGAAGAGGAAGCCATGGAGCCCAAGTCTCTGACTTGGCTCACAAGTGCACAGTGGGAGGTCAAGAGCAAGGGCAGGGCCGGCGCCGCGGCTCACTAGGCTAATCCTCCGCCTAGCGGCGCCGGCACACCGGGTTCTAGTCCCGGTCGGGGCGCCGGATTCTGTCCCGGTTGCCCCTCTTCCAGGCCAGCCCTCTGCTGTGGCCAGGGAGTGCAGTGGAGGATGGCCCAGGTGCTTGGGCCCTGCACCCCATGGGAGACCAGGATAAGCACCTGGCTCCTGGCTCCTGCCATCGGATCAGCGCGGTGCGCCGGCCGCAGCGGCCATTGGAGGGTGAACCAACGGCAAAGGAAGACCTTTCTCTCTGTCTCTCTCTCTCACTGTCCACTCTGCCTGTCAAAAAAAAATAAAAAATAAAAAAATAAAAAAAAAATAAAAAAAAGAGCAAGGGCAGGTTCACAGCAGTCAGAGGCGGGAGGGCAGTGTGCACCCGCTGCACCGTCTCTGGACTCCCCCGCCATGGGCTGAAGCGTCTGTCGGCTTTACCCCGGGGCCGAGGGCCAGCACCTTTCAGGCCTACCGAGGCAACTGGTGGTTCCCAAGAGCACCACTGCCGTAACTAATTCAGCCTTGCTGTTCCCGTACACCCTGACCTCTCTGTATACCACCTGAGTGTGCCGTCTGCTTCCTAACACAGTCGTGTGTTTTCAGTGAGGCACATGTGTATGGTTGTATGCTTACTCGTACACGTATCTGAAAAGGTGCACTTCTAACTGTTAGTAGCAGTTACCACCTATTATGGGAATGGGGAAGAAAGACACGGGAAGGGAAAAGAGGGCTTTGATTTTCGTGCTTATTCCATTTTAATTCCTAAAAAACTGGCTTGTATTGCTTTTAAAATAAAATTTAGAAACGTGTTTTAAAGTAGATCAGAGTACAGATGAAATCTTTTCCAGTTTATTCCAAGAACTACCAAGTGAACAAAATTACCGAAAACACTGTATGCTTTAAAAGAATGTTGAGTGATACACACACGTGGATAAAAATGATTCAATGCACACATGAAGGCAGCATCCAAGGAATCTCTCCAAGTTCATGGCTCCCAGCCCTTCCCTCCAGGCTGATGGGGCAACTTGAGACCCACCAAGCCAGCCAACTCCTCCACGGAGCGCTCACCCTTGCCATGAAATTCCTGATGAAGAGCCACATGTTCCCGGATGCTGCGCAGGAGGCAGAGGTAGGTGGCGGCTTGGAAATGCAGTTCATGTTGGGCTCTGCACAACTTCTCACTGGTGACCTGGGGGAGAGCAAGGTCGGATGCTGTTAACACCTCGGCTGCACATACAGGCCCAGAGGGATCGGATAAACAAGCCTCTCTAGAGGGAACATGAATTGCACAAAGGAAATTCAAACACGTTTGCGAGGGCACTGCAAAAAGGTGGCGGGAAATGGAATTCAAGTGTTTGTTGAGGTCAATGCAGTCTTTTGGTAATTGCAACATTTCCTGGATTTTATGGAGCAGCCTCCCCCGTGCAGGCCTGACACATCTACAGGGGCACTGTTAGGAATCAGAGGGGCTCTCTCCAGGGACGTGGCTGAACCTCTTCAAAGTTACCCAGTTTCGACCCCTGGCCCCTTGTTTTGCAAATGAGAAGAGACCAGCGATGCTCAACGGGTGAACAGCAGAGCCCGGAAATAACCACTGAGCACTCAGGGCACCCAAGGAACCTGCCGGAGCCGCCTGCGGTTAATGCAACGACAAGTAACAGCTCTGGAAGACACCCGTGTCCTCAGCAGAAACAACGGTTTCAGTTTACGCCTATACTTATCATTTACTGGTCTAAACCAATCTGAATTCTAGTTAACTTGAAGCAGCTGAAAACATGGCATCGAACGCTCCCAATGGCTCAAGTCTTGTTTCTTCATATTTAACTTCAAGTTTAGGCTGGAGCCTGGCTCTTTAGTTTGTGCTCTGAGATTGATAGGGATGTGTGCACAGCCCTGAATGCCCACAGTAGCCGTGTCCGAGAGTGGGTCAGCGCCTCGGCACCACTGCCTGCATAACCTCCTCTCTTTCTCCACGTCCAGGGTTAGATGCTGACAGCTCAGACGCATCGTTTAAGATCTGCAGATACCCGCGCTGTGGCGCCTGTTCAAGTCCTGGCTGCTCTGTGGCCCGGGAAAGAGCGGGGGGCGGCCCACGTGCCTGGGCCCCTGCACCCGAGTGGGAGACCCGGGAGAGGCTCTGGCCACTGCAGCCATTCGGGGAGTGACCAGCGGGCGGGAGGCCTCTGCCATGCTTCCACCTCTCTAAAGGACAGGGTATCCATCAACTGCTGAAAACAGGACTCCGTTGTGATCCATTTCAGTCATTAAAACTTGAAGTCCACGCCGAGCATTAACAAGGGGTCGCATCCACTGGTACAGACCAACGGTAAAATGGAAGAATTCCCTGCTAACGAAGGCGGCCGTGAGGAGGGCCGGCCCTGCGACCGCAGGACAGCGCAGGGGACAACCCCGCCGCCCCGGGCGTCGTGGCGGCTCTGCGTGAGCTCGGGGCCGGCGGGAGACGCAAGCCCCGCGCAGAGCAGAGCACGACCGGGCCGGCTGCGGACGGCACGCGGACGAGGCGTGCGGCTCCCGCCTCGGCTCCCCCGAGCCCCGTCCCCGGGCTGCGGCGCGCGCCCACCTCGCCCAGGGACCGGGCGGCCCCCTGCGCCCCCGCAGCTGCTCGCGAGTCCACACCGCGTCCTTTATTCATGCTTAAGTGGCCCTACACGGAGGGACGGCGCGCCTGCCCGGCCGCAACCCTGGGGGCCCGACCGCGGGCGAGCGGACAGGACAAACCCGTCGTCAGACAGGGCGGCCGGCGACGACGGCCCGGCCTCTGCCCTCGGCTCGCCGGCCAGCTCCTCCCGACGGGGCTCCCGTACCCGGTGTGCACGGAAAGCCTTCACAAGGTACCGATAGGCCGCAGTGTCGCGATACGGCCGCCCGGCGGCCGCGTTCAGGTAGCGCAGCTCCCGCAGAAGGCCTCGCAGAGTGCGCGCCGGGGGCCCTAAGGCCGCCATCTTCCCGTCCTCCGGCCGCTGAATGGTACGGCCCGACCCAGACTTCCGGCTCCCCCTATCGACGGGCCAGCGTTCGAATGTCCCACCTCCGCGTTCTGCACAGCCCTAGGAATCGAACGCCGAGCGGCGTCCTAGCGAGTGAAGAGGATAGCAAGTGAGAGCCGAGTGTAACTGCCCCGACACGCCGCGCGGGGCCGAGCGGGAAAAGAAGGCCCTCCTTCCCCGCTGCGGTCTGGGGCCCTGAGGAGACCCCCGCCGCCTCAGGAGAGCGGCGCACAGAGGAGCCCGCCGAGAGCGGCTTTCAAAAGTCAACGTGCTGACACGAGCTCTCGGAGGCGGACCGACCCCGCAATTGGGGTCCAACGGCTGGACACAGCACGCACCCCGTCTTTTAGAGATGAGGTCGGCGAAGAGAGAAACCTGTTTCAAAGGCAAAACTGCAGCCACCCCAGATGGGACTCGAACCCACAATCCCTGGCTTAGGAGGCCAATGCCTTATCCATTAGGCCACTGGGGCTTCTGTGAGCGACGCCCTGAAACATCATATTCAATCTGTTTCTCCGTGGTACGTCATCCGTAAGTCATCCCCGCCCCGTTCTGGGAAGCCGCGCCCACTCTGTGGAGGCGTGGGGCATGCTGGGAGTTGTAGTTTCGAGCACAGAAGGCCGCATACGGCTTTCGATGCTGGGAGTTGTATTTTCGAGCACAGAAGGCCGCATACGGCTTTCGAGGCTTTTTACCCTCGAGGCCGCGCCAGGCGAGGTACGGGCGCGCGCACGCGGGGCGACCGCAGGCGCCTGCGCACCGTCGTGCTGGGGCAGACCGGCCGGGCCTTCCCCGCTCGCCTGCCGAGCTTCGGCGCCGCAGAGTTCCTGCCGGAAGCGGCCGGGCCCCTTCCCTTCCGGTTTTGCGCCTTGGGAAGCCGAGCGTGGCGACCGCCGCGGCCGCGTGCGCTTCCGGTGGGAGCGCTGAGGCGGTGTCCGCCGGCCGCGGCGCGGGTGTCGCGGTGGACGTGCGGGGCGGGGGGCGTTGAGAGGCCGGCGAGCCCCCGCGCGGGGCTGAGGCGAGCTCGCAGGACTCCCTGTTCTTGGTGTCTCCGCTGGCCAGCGGGCCGGGACGCCGTCGTGTGTGCCCTCGGAGCGGCCGTCCGTCTGCGGCGGGGACACCGGGTGACAGGGCCGGGGACACCGGGTGACAGGCCGGGACGCCGGGTGACGGGGCAGGGACGCCGGGTGACGGGCCGGGACGCCGGGTGACGGGCCGGGGACTCCGGGTGACAGGGCCGAGGTTTCCGGGTGACAGGCCGGGACGCCGGGTGACAGGGCCGGGACACCGGGTGACAGGGCGGGGACGCCGGATGACAGGGCGGGACGCCGGGTGCGAGGTGGGGGGGGCGGGGCGCCGGGTGACAGGGCCGGGTGACAGGCCGGGACGCCGGGTGACAGGGCCAGGACGCCGGGTGACAGGGCGGGGGCGCCGGGTGACAGGCCGGGACGCCGGGTGACAGGGCCGGGGACACCGGG